AGAGCATTTTGACGCTCATTGACAGTGTTGCATAGATCTTCAAGCGGCTCCTTGTTCTTTTCAATTCTCCTCTTCATTTCGTCTCCAGTTGACGGCTGCGCATTAGCATTTTCAGAGAGCCAATCAGAAGCATCGATTGCACTATCCAGCAGAATTTTATCATTRGTCAAATTGTCCTGGATGTCCTCTGTTTCTTGGAGTTGTTTCTGAGCTTCATCTGGATCRTCACTGACRGGTGCAAAGTTATCAACTTGTSTCTGAATTTTAGGAATGTCTTCTTCTACTTTGCTAATGTTTGTATCGTAAATATCCAGGTATTCAACAACCTAGAACACAGATATGAAAAAAGAAGTTGGTATTACAGCGATAAGTGTTAGTATTCAAGATCATATATTCCTTATATTGACATTATCTTAGTTAGTATTATTAGTTTGCAGATATCACAAGTTCCGCTAACCTTGTCTAAGAATGCTTCCTTCTCATGACTCTTGTCTTCAGTCTCGTTGAATCTCTGGCACACAGATGCCACTGTCTCAAGTGGTTCAGGGTCACCAGTTTGTTCAGCTAGTGCTTTACCGTGCTTTAYCAAGTCACGCAAGACAGGTTTACGGTTTTCCAAGACAGCAACAGATGTCTATAAAACGTTACCAGCGCAAATGTTAATAATCGAACAAAAGTAGAAAATATGATGAGATATGTTTGGAATGGGATTATGAATGAATSGATAWATGAAAGARGCCCTTTGAAAGAGGGAAAGAAAATAAAGGAAGGGAAAGAGGAAACATTGAAGTATTGGGAGGAAACTGACCTGACCAKGAGAGGGAAAATGAAAAATAGAAACTAGATGGAAAGTGGGCAACGAATCAAGAATATTTTGATGTAAGAAGGAAAATAAACAAGAAATTGCGATAGCAGCGACAAATACCGCTTACCTTTGCTTTACCGAGTTCCATTTCTGTTTCCTTCACGTCAAGAAGCAACTCATACTCCTCGACAACGAAGAGCTGAACTTCTTCTAGAGTTTGTTCCACGACACGTAGTGTCTCTTGGAAACCATGGAGACTCTCCTGTGCGTCGCTTAGCAAATCCAACTTTTTGTTTACTTCACAATGAAGCTCGTCATAACGACGGTTGATTGTCGCTACTTCGTCCTCGATTACAGGGACATGTGACGTAATGTTCTTGTCTTGAGCGTTTTTCAAATGTACAGTAGAAGCAAAATTGAGGGCTTTATGCTCTGGTTCATGGSTTTTTACTTCGTCTARGATCAGCTGTRAACAAATGTCGTTAAGAAAATATTTATCATAGTGCATCAGATGCAAATTACAAAGAGTAAAASACGCTTCATTATTTACTAAACAGTAGTCAATTAGGGAGGTCTAGTGAGCGATGGGATAAACCTGATTGAAAAAAACGCTGTCAAAGGTCCTAGAAGCTAATACCGAAAGGGAGCATGGGAAGGCAAACAATTAATATAATACTGACCTCTAGGGTTTCCTGGACACGTATAATCTCTTCTTGGTCACTTGGCACCTTATCGCACTTTTTCATTCTATCCTCAGCATCATCCAGCCAGGCAATGAAAGGAGTACTTGTATCTTCGTACATTTTAGCAGTGGGTTTCACTTCGTCAAGCTTCGTTCTGTGATCACCCAGCTTAGTTTTTAAATCATTCCATTTAGCTCTTGTTGTGTCGAGTTTATCTTTGAGTTTTTCGTGCTCACTGCCTTCGGGCAGTGATTCCAGCATCTGTTCGCCTTCTTTGGTAACATGTTCAAACATTTGTTGATGAAGGTCGAGCTGATTGTTGATAGCCTGTGCCACAGTAAAAGCATTGTTAAGTGTTGCTTATAGAACGAGATTGCGTGTTTTATCGGGATATAAAAGCCCATCATGTGACCCAATAGTTCGATGCTCATTGGACTAATAGCTCATGAATTATTAATAAGTTCTAGAACTACATTTGCACTACAAGGCATTGGATTAAACAAAATAAACAAAAAATGGAAAATACATACCTCAATTTTGTCTTCCTGACTGCCGATGATCATAAACCGTGCAGAGACAGGTCCAACCAAGTCGTATAACTTACTAGCGCTTGTCAACCATCTGTTGAGCTCCTCCATGGAACCTTTGAAGTCTTGTGATTGTAACAACGCGGCTTGCAGATCGTTCAGCTTCTTGTTAAGTGTGTTGCTTATGTCTTCAAGAGGCTGCTCCACACTGCTGATTCTTTCAGCTACGTCTTGTGTCATACCTTCGTCGTCGTTGCTTAGTTCCTTAATTTTGTCAGCAAGCTGTTTGGCTTGATCGAGTATCGCTTGTTTTTCTTGAACTTCGTCATTAAGATCCTGTTCAAGACAAAATCATTTCAGCTCAATGGCGCTGCAACACCTCTTTTGGTGGCATTTCCTTTAATATTGAAACATTATATTACAACATACATCTATATTTACCTTCATTTCCTCCAGCTGTGCTTTGATGTCTTCTGGTTCAGTGCTCACAGGCAGTTCGGCCTCAACTTTCCCGCGCCCTTCTGGAATCCACTTTTGTAAGTCTTCTATAATATCGGTGAACTGCTTGTAACATTCAAGACCCTTCCTGAGTTTCGAGTGCTTTTTCCTCAAGCTAGAGGTCAATGAGCGTTGTTTTTGAGTCACCTTCGCAACCTCGGTCTGTACCTCSACTCCAGGGTCTGTTTGAATATCGATAACACGCAGTAGCTGCTGACTTGAACGGCGAATAAGTCTGACCCGCTGATCACTGTCTTCCATGTCTTTCATKGCATTCTGTTTCAATGGAGACAAAATGAAATAAAAATCRCCACTACMCTATTACACCTTTAGGTCACCCCGATATTACGGACACCTCGTTATTAAGGACAGTTAATCCCTGCTCATAATTAAAACCAAATAACTCCCTTTGCAACTCTCATGCAAGTTGACTGTAATTACCTGTATCATTGCATTAAAATATCAGCATCATCATCACCACAACCATCATCAAATTGTGATTAACATTCCTAGAACACTTACCTCAACCTTCCCAAGTTCCTCTTCACTGACAGGAGCCTTCATGACAGCTGAATCTTCAATCTCACTAAAAGCCTTCTCCACAGGTTCAAGTTGAGCACGATACAATGAAATGTGTTCTTGCGCCCTTAAAATCTTTTGCTTTCGATCCTTTATCTTTTCTTTGAGTTCAACCAAAGCAGCTTCGCAGATGTTGATTCTTTCAGCAACATCCTTTATAGCTTTTGGATCGTCCTTCTTCATCGAAGTGATGGACCTGGCTTTTATTTCGGCGTCAGATAAAACTGCGAACTGTTTGTTCGTGTTCTCCTCTAATTCTTTYACTTCTTCGAGTTGTTTGGACARTACTTTGTGATCATTGCTGATTGGTTCGAAATTATCCAGCTGGACAAATGCAACGTTGACGTACTTTTGTAGTTCGTCCGTAGAATTCACAAATAATGTGATTTCCTCCACCACCTTCTCCAGCCACGTGATATGTACGGTGACATTTCGCCGTAACGCTGCGACGCGATTGGATAATTTCTTGACGCGCTGTTTCACGGGTGTKAAATTGATTTTGGGGTGATCTTCGTTCTTGACTTGTTCTCCAACATTTTGGACGTCTGTTTCTAGAGTCTGCACGTCTTCCTGGAGGACCTGCAAGAAAGAGTACGAAAATTATGAATAATACACAAATAGAATGTTATGGGAAAAATGATCACAATAAGAAGAGATTAAAATAAGCTCGTTTGATAAGTTGTAAGAAAGTGATGTCTACTTCACGTAATTGAATACGACTTAAAAACTACAACCTTTACAATGTTTCTTCTTTAATGCTATTACCTTCATAGCTTGAAGCATCTTCTCGCTCTCATCCACGTCAATACCTTCATGATGAGACTCTTCCAAGCTTTTCTCTGCCTTTTTGGCTGAATTCTCTAAAGGACCGAGCAGCGATCTGTATTTCTTTACTTTGCTGTCGGCCTCTGAAACCTGTTCTCTTCGATTACGATAGAAGTCGTTAAGTGCGGTCCAGCGTTGAATGGCGTCATCGGTTTCAGCTTTGACCTCAGGTACTCCGTTTGTCACGTTGGCAGAGTCGCAGGAATTCAAAAGATCATTGGAATTGTCAACTAATGACTTGTAAACTGGCCGATGACCTTCAATGTCCTCTTGTAGGAACTGTTGCAAGAACTGTACACAATAATTGCTTGTTAGAAATATCTAACTTGCAAGCCCTTGTCAAGCGYGAAAAAAACACAATTGACTACCATTCAAGCTTTTGACCACAGTTGACGGTGCTATGGGAGCACACAGTTCAACAGTCAACTTAGATATTTTGGTTCGATGACTATGTACAAAAGAACGCACACGARGCTCCGGGAAAACAATGGATAATCTTGATATATTTTATTATTTCCCCGGAGCCTCGTTTGCAATTCTTTTGGTGCATGGTCACTGAACCAAAATATATAAAGTTGGCTACTGTCATAACATTTTTTTAACAAGGCAATAAGATACAAAAAAAAAACGAAAGAAAAAAACACAATCAAACGAAAAAAAGAGATATGTCATACATATATTTACCTTGAGTAAATCTCTCTCTCGTCCGAGCGCATGCTTCTCACATAACACCTCACCACAGTCCCCAACGATATCCTCCATTTCACTTAGAGCGGGGATGAAGTTCTCCATCGCTTCTGAATAATTCTGCGCAGGTGGCGCCACCTCATCCAGTTGCTGCTGACGTTCATCCGTCTTTTCAACAAGGCTGTTCCAACGTTTTTCAAGGTCATGTAGTGATGTTTTAAGCGTGTCGGCATAGTCTCCTGGTTGTGACTCGGCAAGGATTTCTTTTCCTTGACGTATAGTGTCTTCAATAATAACGCCGTGCATGTTTACTTCCAAGTAAATCCCCTATAGGTAAAAGGAAATAAAAATATGAATAAAGAAGGAATAGTGAAAAGTGAGAAAATAGAATTGGACGATTGAGAGAAAAAGGTGGGAAAAAGGGAATTTTGGGGAGAGAGGGACCAGCTGGTTCAACGATGGGAATAAGTTTAAGGAGATATCAAATTTACAAAGGGAAATTAAGAATATCGCTTTATGGCAGCCATGAAAATTTACCTCATGATCAAGTTTCTGTTGTGCAATCACAATGTACTTGGCATTGACTGGTTCTTGTTGATCCAGAAGACCTTCCATCTCATTGAGTTTCATTACAGCCTCGTCAAGTGAGGTCTGATAGTCCTGCCCTTCAACAATGACGTTCTTCAGTCGAGCCTGTCGACTAACGACTGTCGCTTGGAGTTTATCGTATTTGGGCTTGACTTGGTCGAGTTTKTCTTTGACTTCGGCGATCGTTGCAGGATCATCCTTTACTGTCTTTACAATATAGTTCTTTATTTCTTCCATTGTCTCCAGTTTAGTATGGTACGGTGGGAACTGAGCGATGATCGGCTAAAATTGTAAAAGGTAACATTGAATTAACGTATTGTAATGTCTTGTAATGTCTTGTAATGTTTGTAACCCCCGAAACAAGACCTTAACGACAATTTCCTTTTAAACCTTTACATATTTCACACGCTTAGGTGTATACATATTGTCTAAATCGGCATAAAAAAAACAAACCCGGTAAATAATAGCGCATTGGTAAGATTTTAAATCGTGAAATTTACTGCCTCAGTTAACGGCAAGATCCAATCATATCTCATTCAACTCCAGTTTACAAACAATATCATCTCATTCATAACTCTCTAAGTTATATGTCATAGTTCATATCCAATTGGTTTTTGACAGATATATGTCATGCACTACACAAATCTCTACAACTTACTTGTAATTCTTCCAACTGTGTTTTGGCCTCCTCACAGTCGCTGCTTACAGGCTCAAAGTCGTCCACGACTTTCTGTATCTCAACCAACCAGATATCAACCTCCTCAAACAACTCCATGAAGACGACGAACTTGTCAAGTCTCTTTGCCATGTTTTGCTTGACTCTCTTGATTTTTCCAGCGCTGAGGTCGTACTGGTAGCTAACGTCTGCCATTTGCTCCACATACTCAGTTTGTTCAGCTTCGAGTGGGGTGCTGAGTTCAACGATGTCAAGTTCAGCCTTTTGGTTTTCGAGGTCAGCAATCAAGTCCTCTACGCGTTGAAGTTCTGCTTTACCTTGTTCAACGTCTAACCCAAAGTCTGCTTCGGACTCCAAAAACGCGTCCAGTTCATCCAACGTTTCTTTGAYAGGATCTATCGCACTCTGATATAAAGCGACATTTTGTTCCACAACGTTCGCATCGAGGTTGGCCGTTTTAAGTTTTTCATAGCGCGTGTTTGCATCACATACTTCATTGTCAATTGGTGCCGTGTCGATTCTAATGGGAAGATCTTTACAGAATTCTATCAGTTCTTTAGCACTTGTGTTCAGAACCTTATGGTTGCCACTTTCATCTTCAACGGCCATTTTGAATTCCTGTGAACACAGGTATGTAACAACATTATGATGACTTCGCTACTTATTACTACTTAACGATATTCAAAATTGAAAATAGGAAGTTTAATGTACGGAGTCAGATTTTCCCAAATATCGACCTCTTATATTCAAGAAATGTTATTTTTAACTGATGCATTTTTGCAAGATCAATCACGTTAGCGCTTTACCTTTATTTCTGACTTGAGCTTAGGGACTGTCTCCTCATCGATCGACGTAGTGCTGAGAACATCCAGTTTTTCCTCAGAGTCATCCAAGAATCCAGAAAACCCTTCAACAGCAGTCTGGTAACGTTGGACAAGGGGTGCAAGCTGATCAAGAAGCTCCTTACGTTCGTTGGACTTGTCTTTGACGTTATCAAATCGCCGGCTCATGTCTGCTAGCTTATACTTAAGGATGTCGCGTTCTGGGCCAAGGTTCATTGTTTGGAGTAAATCATTACCGGCTTTTTCGACGTGTCCAACTGTGTCCTCATAGTTAGAAATCTCTTGGTGGAGAGTCTATACGAAAGTAAAAATATTATACAGTGCTCCATTACCAACTCTTTTGTCTTTGCGTAATCCGAACCCTATCAGCGCGTATTGTCCAAAAGGTAATGATACAATAAAGTATTACTATGTTCACTCACTTGTTGTTCCCTCTGCAAGTTGTTTACCACCTCTGTTCTCAAAACTGGAGCCTCTTGTTTCTCCTGCTTCTTCTCAACCTCAGTAAGCCACGCAACGATATTGGAAAGAGCAACATCGAGTTCTTGAGATTGGTACATCATAACCTGTAGCCTGGATAACCGATCAGCCACTACGGCAAGAAGAGCATCGTAGGCTTCCTCGTAAGGATGGAGCTTGGTAGTAACGTCATCCTCAACTGACGCACCTTCGCTTGCTTCCACAAGCTTGTTTCCAGAATTCTGTGCAGTAGCAAGTAGTGGTCTTTTGGCAAGTAACGTTTCATGAAGCTCCTGTCAATAACAAAGACGTTCAATGATTAGAGGTCATTATGACATCACACTGGTTTATAACAGAAAGAAGTGTAAAAGTCGGATTGAGGCTTCATACAGCAACATGACACTTTTATGTTCTGGTTGAGACTGAACAACTTGTTGAAGCTCAGATCGCATAACTATCGCATTGTCCTGTAATTGTGGAAAGTCATGAACAATAAAGATATATTCCTGATGATAATCATGATGGAATCATTATCGTTAGATGATGCTGTTATTGCTGATGACGCGGATTAGCAAGAGGATATATTTGACAAAACAGAAGCCGGAAAAAAACTAACCTCAACTTCCTTCAATTGACGTTTTATTTCTTCAGGTTCACTGCTGATTGGTTTGAAACTCTGGACGGCCAACATAGCTTCAGGAAGCCATGATTCAAACTGATTCAAGGCCCCTTGGAAAGCCTCCACATTATCAATCACATTTTCAAGTTTGATTTCCTCGCGTTCAAGCTCAGCACGATCAGCTTCAAACCTGTCATTGAGCTCTGCTAGGTCGTCTTCAATTGCAGCCGCGTTAACAATCTGAGTATCTGCTTCGTTTAGTAAATCTTGACCGATAATGTTTGCGGAGTCGAGATCACCCTTTGCATTTGCTAGTGTTGATGAAAGAACCTGTGGGAAAAGGGGCAATAGATTCAGATTGTGACTATAAGACACTGGAYGAGCTGAGGCCAATGTGTAATAACAATAATCGCAACTAGATGAAAAGATGTATKAAGACGTTTATTGGTAWGACCCAAAAACTGTTGGTAATATAAAAAAAAACTTGAACTAATCAAATCTTATTTATGTTCAAATAATGTGTTTATATATCAGTATAATTCTCACCATCAAAGTGTCCCTGTTGGCCTTAGCCTGATCAAGATCTAAACCAACATCAAACTGCTGTTCCAATACTCCCTCCGTTCGCTGTAGTAAGTCATTCATCTTGTCTACCTTCTCATTGTATGTTTGTAATTGTCTCTTAGTTGTTTCTAGTTTTTGCTGTTTGTCTTCCACTACTTGATTCATCACAGCCCAGCGGTTAGCAACCTCTTCATTGATTTCTTCGATAGGTTCGAGACCAGATGCAATATTTGCCTTTTCACATGCCTGTTGCAGGTTTTGTGCAGCTGTGATGAAGTGTTTGTAGACTGGATCGTGGTTGAATATATCTTGACGCATTTCCTGTTGCAATAAAGTGATGGCGAACAGTTAAGAATGGTTATAAGTTCATCTTGGATGATTGTGACACTAATTCAGCATCAYTGCTACTACATTATGGATTCAAATTTTGGTGTGATACCAATGAATTAATGTAGGACTGACGCGCAATTACAATATTGATGAATTATGGAAAAATATCAAACCCACAATTATAAACAACCAAACAATCTAACAAAAGAACAAAATAAGAAAAATGAATAAATAAACAAAAAYAGCTTAATTTGGTTTACTCAGCAAATTATCTAAGCCCAGGTGAYATAAATTAGCGTTCTCCGTGCTGAGGTAAGAAAAGAGCAAGCAGCAAAAAWGTTTTAACAAAGTTTTTACCTTGACGAGCTTTATTTGTGAATTTAATGAATCTTCATCGCAAAGCACAGGTTTCATGTTGACGACCTTCGTCTCAATGTCTCTCATCCATTGATTCAAGGCATTATAAGCGTCATCATAGACCTCTGCACTGGGGAAAACAGTCTCGATGCACTTCTGTCGTACATCTGCTTTGTCTTTGACAGTTTCCCATAATGTCTGTGTAGCGAGGACACGGTTTTCTAGTACGTCCCTGTCTGGACCTGGCTGAGTGTCAAGAATGACGTTGCGAGCAGCAGGGAAGAGGTACTCCGAAATTGGGACCAGGCTAACACATTCACGAATGACACCCTAGAAAGAATATACAACATTTAAACATTTCATTTTATAATATTATAATCTTGACTAGTGAAGATTATAGTGACTCCTTAATAAATGATCAAACAAATCAAAAATTAAACAAATCAAAAACGACAGGTTTCTCTCATGATAGAAAATAGTCAAATTTTACACTTTACTGAAGCAACAACTTTGATATAAATTAAGACAAATCAGATTACAAGTTTACCTCGTGGTTTTTCCGTTGGTCTTTGATAACGACATACTCAGCTGACACRGGCTTGGCTTTCAGCATCTTTTTATCCAGCACACAAACACGCTTCTCGAAATGACCAAGAGTTTCATCCACACGTTCTTTCTCAGTCAGCGCAGACTCAAGACGACGGCGTCGATCGCTAAGTTTRATAGAAACCTCATCGATGGAGGATTTTGCGCGAGATATTTTGGTCTTGATTTCACTCAAGACTTCTTCTTGGTTGTCATTTTGCTTGATTATCCACTCTCCTGTCTCTTCCATGGTTTCGATCTTGCGTCGGTGAATCACGACCTCGTCCTCGAGATTCTAGAGAGGCAGAAAAAACATTTATTGAAGGGAGAGATCAATTTGAGCCGCAATCACATTTTCAGAGAACATATTACTATTGCCCGTTTTCGTGAATATATTTCCCTTGCAATCTATTCTGAATGTCTGTCATTGAAAAAAAAAAGGAAACGGAACAGTATTATAAGGACAGAGTTATGATTAATTTGTATTTGTTCCAGGTCTCCTGTACAACCAGAAACTACTCGCCCCCCCTCCCTCCCCCGTATCTAATTGCTCGCGCGTAACAGCCTCCTGCCTATGAGCTTGTAAATTCTTTGATTGCCTCGTAAGATATTAAACATTTTTATTATCTGTCTGAAATTGATTAACAGAATAAACTTGAGCGTTGCCTATCACGTGGCATGTGACTCACCTGTACGTGCTGAAGCTGATCCCTTACGTCTTCGATATTGGTCATAACGATTTCCACGGTCACAAACCTCATGATGCCCATGACCTTGACCTCGACCTCTTGGCCAGCGCTGTCAAACATCTCGACATTCTTGATGTATTTCTCGAGTTTGACTTTACGTTCCTTCAGTCGGACCTGCATGACACGGTTATCTTTGATGATGGTAATGATGTACTCGTTGTTGGTTGTTTGTTTGGACAGACGAACCAGTTTGTACTCGGTGTCTTCCAAAACTTGGATTGTGTTCTAAAAGAACGAAATAACAGATGAATTACAGTCGCAAATTTACTGAAATAGTACTCATGACTTTCCACGCAGGCAATACTAAACAATCATCCACAACGTCATTGCAAGATGTTACGGCATTAAATTAGCTTTCTTAAATCCAAGTGTAAAAACAAAATACAGCAATTCTTTGGCGYTCAGGCCATATTGCTCTCAATTCACAAAAACACTTACATCAACTTTCTTGAGTTCTTTTCTGACTTGATTGACATCAGTACCGTACGCTGGCTCTTGTGCAAGTATGCTCTCTGCATCGTCCATAGCCTGTTGCATGGGTCCCATAACCTCTCGTAGTTGAGCCATCGTCTTGTCTGAACTCTTAAGGATTTTTTCTCCGCCAAGAACGGCTGCGCTGTGCCGCTCCCAGCGCCTTTTTGTCTCCTCTCGATCACCGATTACATAGATGGCATCTGTGTTGATATTCAATTCGTGGCAAATGTTTATAAGCTCTTGGGAAGTTTCTACAAGGTTGTTGTAGACAGGTCGATGGTTGTCCAGTCTTTCTCGGAGACCCTAAAGAAGAGTTTCATTAGAATTCAGCATTTGGAACATGACTATAAATGTTTGTATGATATATATGAATCGTTACATTGTCGCGTGTAGAGCGGATTTCGTATGAGTGGGAATCGAAAGGTACTGTACTGTGACCGTAATCGTACTGTAACCAAATTCTAGTGCCCCATTTGTCCACAAAAATTGTGCAGGCCAGGTCTGGTAACTGTGCGGTAACCGTGCGGTAATTTCTACCGTACGTTTCCCACCCATACGAAATTGACTCTATCATCGATGTCTTTCAGTTTAACGATATCGGTCATTTATATCTTCGAACAATATTTGTATCTGTTTAGCCAGTTCGGACATATGTAGGTGCTTTAGCTACATTCATCTTACTTTAGCCAGTCATTTAACATTTTCAAGAATGACAAACAAACCTTAATGACATTCTTCTTTTCAACGAGGGACTCCAAATCATTGATGCCCGATTCCAATGACAGTTCCGCAAGGGTTCGCTCGTCTTGTCTTAACCATGTCTGAAATTCGGTCCTCGTTTCGACATAACATACAACAACGGGGTAYAGTCGATCCATCTCCTTACGTCGTTCGGCCATTGATCGTTTCACGCTTTTCCAACGTTCGGCGAATTCGGTCATCGTTCGTTTCATTTCTTCCCTTTCTGCCCTGGAKTCCAAAAGTTCGGATTGTTCCGAGCAGTGGTTTTGAATGTCATGGTAAACTGATTCATAGGCTTTGATTTCTTCCATTAGAACCTGGAAGGGAAAGAACATTAGTTCAATAAAATTTGATAACATTCCCGCATTGGTACGTCATGATTTGTCCCTATACTTGCGATGTCAACTCGCCCCAAATTTACATTACTAACTTTTTCCACAGGAATCACAAATTACCTGTTGTTCTTTGTTCTGTTTCTTGATAAGCACAGGTTTAATAGATAACATCATCTGGGATTTGACTTTCTCCTCAGTCTGCGTCAACCATCTGTCAAACTCCTCAATTGTCTTGTCAAAGTCTTGCTGTTTGTATAATGCGGACTGCAACGCTGCTATCTTATCACGTAGCTTATCTTCTACTTCAATGTATTCATTTGTCACGGTTTGGATCTGAAAATCAAAGTTTAACAGTGAATTTCGAGTCACAAAAGTCAGCCAAACAAGACGCGAATAGAAATCTAGATGCAGACAACAGAGATCCTATGAGTTAAGAATTTGAATAAATCCTTCTTATTAAAGAGTGTTGACACACGCAGGTTCCCTTAAGCGTATTAGACTTCTTTGTATTGCAGGTTTACCTTGTTGGTAAGATCTTTCACAACTACTTCATCATCAGCGTTTTTGTGTATAAGCCCTGAGCCAGCTTGCTGTAGAGATCCGAGCACTGGTTTAATTTGATACATCTCAATCTGCAAAGCCTGTAAATCAAAAATGTTATTATTATTCTCATTTTTAAGTAGTGATGCGTCCGGAACGCCCAGAAGCATCGCAGGCCATGTCCATGATAATCATTTTCAGCAATGTTATCGTTATCATTTTAATCATAAACAATACCATGATCATCATCATTAGGCAGATACAGCTATTTCAAAAAACGTTGTCGGGGAGAACGGCGAACAGCGATTGTCGAAGGGAGATTGCCCGACCGAAAGGGACTATGGTCACACTGTTTTGACAAACAAAATTTCACCTATTGGATTCACCTTACATAGAAATGGAGACCAAATCTATCCAATGTTTACCACAGACAATCTTACATTACAAATCAGTTATTATTGCCTTTCCACTACCAAATCCCATGACTACTTTCGGTCGTGCAATCGACGTTCGACCATTGACATTCGCTATTTCATCCGACAACCTTTTGTGAATTAGCTATATACTACCAGTTATACAACAATAAAAAAAAATCTAACATACCTTGAGCTCATCGAGCTGCTTTTTAAGCTCGTTAGGATCGTTACTCAAAGGCTCGTCTAATATCTTCTGATCCACTTTATCAATTTCATCGGACTTTTCTTTCAGGGCCTTCAAGAACTTTTCGATATTGTTATTCTCGATGGCATCTCTTTGTTTTTCCAACTGTCGTTTTACGTTTTCATAACGATCGTTCGCTTCTTTCTGGATTTGACGAAGATCTTCAGGCTCTCCGTTGGCTGYTATYAAATTCTCAGCCAGTTCGTCTGATAGGGTATTCATTCGATTGACATCACGCATTCTTCGATCAAGCACCAGAAGCACTCCCTTAATGTTTTGCAATTCTTGTTTACTTTTCTCAGAGGACAGCGGAACTCCATCTAGTGACCGTAGTTGAGTTTCCGCTCTATTAACGACTCCGTCGACATTTTGTAGCGCGTCGTAAAATTTTCTGGCGAGGGGAATAAGTTTGTTGATTTGTTCGTGTCGTTCTGTYACGCGATCGTTTACTTTTTGCCATCTTGGCTTGATATCGCTGTACAATTGCTCTACTTCCTGCCGGACTGGGGAATCTGGTTCGAAGTTGAGAATATTGTTGGCGTCTTTATCGATACTTTCGTAAGTTGGTTGGTGATGTCGCAAGTCCGTTCTGATGCCCTGAAACAAGAAAAAACAGTTAGTATAAACACAATTTCAATCGAACGGCTAAAAAAAAGGGTCGACTCCTTAGTAAGCAAGAGAAATCCTTGGATTCTATACTCTCTCGCCGATATACAATCTCCAAGTTAGAATAATTGAAAACGATTGTGGGAGCCAAAATAAAAGATGGCGATACATCACTTGAAAGAATAAAAAGCCCAATTGGATTTTTCTACGACGCCCTTATAAAACCAAAGTATAAGAGATGTTCTTGTTAAACTTATGACTGTGTGTAGGCGATGAGAAAATCACTTCCAACTACAGCCCCTTACCATGTGAGCAATTTCATCTTCTTTGAGTTTTAGAAGATCACAAGTGTAAGGTCTGACTCGTTCAAGGGAATCTTCGACACTCCTTAACCAGCCGCTGAATTGTTCCATAACATCTTGAATACGCTCGTACTCGACTGACATTGGTTTCACCTCTTCTAACGTCAAACCAGTCAAGTATTTCTTCTGCTCTCGAATGGCTCCTTCCAGGTCATGGAAATCTTTCTTCACTTTGTTTAGAGTCGTGGAGACTTCGGCTGGAATAACTGCATTTTCTGGACGTCCATCTGGGAGACTATTGGTGGAAAAACATCATATCAAACCAATATAGACGATATCCGTGAGACATCTATTAGTGATATGCAGCACAAAATATGAGTACAAAACAAAAACCAAGACCAATACAAATGGACTCGCGGATTTTATCTTCGAGTGTTTAAAAGATCTCTCAAGAGTGAGCGTAGTTATTTTCACTAGTGAAAAATCAACCTAACGTAATGGAGAAATATAGATATTTTATAGATAATTATATGATAAAGATATTTCTTACACGTTGCAGTAAATCATTTTCTGTATACCCATTTATTTTTACATTTTTTTAAATAAAAGAGTACCAGGAATCAGAGCGTTCTACACATCATATTTACGAGTCGAGAGGGTTTTCAAAAYATTACTTACGTCACATTAGACTTYTGTGCATTTCTAATCAACCATTCTCCTGTGACGGTAGCTGACGTAAGAAGAGGTCGATTTTCTTCCATTTCATGGTGCAGATGCTACAATACATAACGTTAATATTCAGATATCTGTGCGGAGGCAAAGATTTTACAATGCAGATGTAACAATTGTAACATTAAGCAACCGAAGGCAGCAAGTGAGTCAACGCAATTGATGGAGTAAATTTTGAGGCAGTTTAACTTGAAACCTGTGGACAGCGTTCCAAGCATATAGTGGGCCTCGGTATAGCACGGTGTGCGAGAAGTGGCACTAAGCCAAGTGATGATGTAAGGCGTAGGGATATGATAATTCGATTAAATTTGTTCTTTCTGTGTCAAGGTCTAGTTATTATCTGACTACACTGTAGTCAGGTCATAGCTAATATCATTATAGGCCCAATGGGTACATAATATTGAGTACAAACTCACCTCTAATTCTCTAATTTTTGCTAAGATCGCAACTTTATCATTGGGATCAACCTTATCATTTTCAAGCTTGGCTTTCCGGGCTGCTATCTTATCCAAGAGGCCTCGTACAGCTCGTTGGAACTCGAGTGCCTGTTTGAGGTGATCCTGATAGTGCTCTTCATATGCTTCTATTTTGACTTTGATTTTTGATACTCGATCGTTGAGTGCCTTCAGTTGGTCCTGTATCCCTGAGGTAGCTGCGTCTGGACTGTCCAGAGCTGCAACATCTTCTCCTGCCTTTTGGGCCTTGTTGGAACATCGTTCAAGTTCTTCTTCCAAAGCCTGACAGGATTTTAAGTAAAATATTCACAAATGTTCTAATAATCACTTTATTAAGATTAAGCGGAAGATGGGGAGGGAGAGTTGGGCTGGGTTGGGTTATTGGACTCTCTTGCCTTTCATATAACACACTATCTATAACTATTGACTCTGCTAGTACAATCGACGCACCATTTTACCGGAACCGGAACCAACGCCGATAGGAAATCATAATGTGAAAAAAACGCGGTAACCAATCAAGGCACCGATATTAAAATCAGACGTCACATAATTTAAACAGTATTCTTCATTCTTCGCCATATCCTCAAGACGTCTGGCAGTTTAATGACATGAATGTAAACGTTTGGGATTTGCAAGTCTTAACGTGTTATGTTCAAAACGACACACCCCTAAAGTAATGATAGCCTTAGGCCTATACACCGTCAAACCAACACTATGTAACTATACATTCAACTATACATTTATGTAAGGACTGTAATTTTCTCTCCCAGATATTGACCATCATGTGCTACCAAAAATAAATAATTATTTTGAAATATTGTAATTCAGCTTATAATTAATCTACACAAGTAAAGAAGTAATGTAATTATGTGCACTGTTTCTTTTCTTTAAAATGCTCACTGTAAAAATCAAATAATAATTAAAAAAAAATTATATTAATTATTCTAAATTTCTGTATGAATTTAGCTCTACAAAAATATATCTTTACTATACATTTGTATTTGATACATTTGTATTTGGTGTGCCTAGAAAAATATGCTATACAACACGTTTACGAGTGATGATTTCGTTTTCAAACATGTCACACAAGATATTTTAGTTTATTCTCTTCATATTCTCTTCATCTTCGCATTGAATATAAATCATTCAATGCGGCACCATCTAACATAAGATACAGACAAAACAGAGAAGACTCCTAGTGAAACAGTTGTTAGGCAAATAATAGTGCCAACTAATAACTTTCAAATCAGTATGAGATTTTAATAATGCCATAGATTGTTTATCAGAAAAAAAAAATGAAAAAAAAACCCCGTAGATATAACGCACTGCACTTATTGAGAACCWTAAAAAAGATTCTCGCTTAAAAATATACTCGGAGATTTTTGTGTAATACAGTTGTTCCCTAGCAACAAGAGCAAGTCATGCAAACCTATTTTTGAAATGACAAAAATGTTTCATTATGCATATATGGTGGAATATAATATTTGGCACTATTCACTGGAAGTAAAATTTTAAAATTGTTTTTGAAAAATTTGAGACAATTTTGAAATATCAAATTTGATATGCTGAAATACACGTAAAAGAAATGGTATTGTCTTTTTTATAAAAATATCTTTAAATAAAAATAATTTCTTATATAAATTCATGTAATTTTGATTATTTTAATTTTTTTTGGCAATGGAAGTGTTTTCTAAAGTGAATTAGAATACCACTCGCTTACAGCCAATCAAAATGCAGAATTTAATTGAATTCATTATATAAAGAACTGAATACTTGCTGTCGCGATTCGTGTTAATGTCATCGAATTTTTACTGACTTCCACTTTATTGTACTCAAAATCTCATATCTGAGAAAACACAGGCAAAAATTATAAACTGCTAGAAGTACCAATAACGTACTGTATAGAAAACAATAATACAGAAAAGGTTAAAAAGCAACTGGCAATAAACAAATGAAAAGTAAACTTCTTGACAGGTTAGTCCATGATAAGTTGAAAGACAAACACAGGAATGAATACAGACATGGAGTATCAGATGAAGTTATGTACGGGCTTGTATATTTGACTTTAAGATAAAATATATGCAAATGTATAAAATAACATCCGTCAGAGTTCAAAGGCTCGGATCGTGTCTAGATATCAAGGACCATTAACATATCTTTCTTTTTAATCGTTTTTCTTTCGAATATAATTTTAATGCAATTTAGAACAATAAAAAAAGATGATACAATAAAATCAGTCTAGGGAAAAAAATGATTTTAGACACACGAAATAAATGTACTTGTTTTGCCTTTAATAAATCAATCAAATGGAACGTTTCCTTTTCCGTCTGAAAAAAAAATAATGCAAAATATACTGAAAGGATTTTTAAAAAAGATATTTATATTACGTAATAATAAACTGGTGAGCTATTATTGCCATTTTTCTTGTTATTTATAGAAATAGTTTCAAAATACATTCATTCACAGAATGTCATTCATAATTTCAGACCGCAAGACGACTCATGGAAAATGTCCAGTAATTATTCACGGTTGAAAATGATCATCGCTAAAAAAGGAACAGTAATTGATGACCAATTTGGACACAAAACTACGTTTGAAATTCCTTTCCTCAAAATACAAATCACAATAATTCAAAAAGATTGATCGCTCTAACAGCTCTTCTTAATCAAAACTGTTCCAGTGCAAGAAAGGAAAAAAAACAAAGAAAGCGATAAATGCGCCACAGTATAAATGAAATGTAACGCAACACTAAGAAATCGATTGTCTGATTTTAAGTCGAAGAATAACGCTGGAAAAGCCACTAAAAATGTTATGTATTAACACAACTAAACTGTTACCACAACGGTCAAATTATATTCATAGACATCGCTCTATGTACAAGTTAGCAACATCTACTCTAATCTGGAAAGCAAGTCAAAATCTATTGAAAAAGTATTGAATCTAAGATGRCACCGGGAAATAAAAMTTTCAATCCATTTACCTTCTTCGTGGGATATAATTGTTKAGATTTTCYTGAATAGAGACGTGGAGTGTACGCAAAATGTGTAATTGCCTTGCAAAAGTGTTCATCTTTGTTCGTAGATCCAATTTGTGTGTTTTGAATCGGATTTTTTGGCGAATATGGTCTCCACACCGTGATATATTTGAATGGTTCCGGTTGAGTAAAATCGCGACTTGAATTACAATTTGATTYATTCTCAAWTCGTGGTTTTCCTCTGCTGAATCGTTCAGTGGACGAACAGTTCCCATTCATTGGGGAAGCTTTTTTCAAATAATTAAAATTTTGTTTTTCCGGGCACGAAGCTGYGCTAGCAGCCTTTCCATAAACAATATACCGAACATTTGTAGCTTGGTAATTTGTCTCCTCTTTTGACACTTTTCCGACAGTTTTCGTTTGTGGAAMAAAACTCCCATTCAAATCTACCGCTCCATTCCAAGTTGTCCTTATCCCTTCACTTCTGTTAACCTCAACAGTAGTACCGTAGCTAGAGCCGAGTACAAGTGGAAGTGAGTCTAATGAACACGCAAAGGTAGAAGGATAAACTCCGGTTTCTAATCCTCTGTGTGACGAGGATCCGCTTTCAGAAGAACATTCACTGCCTAGACCTTCATCTCCTGTTTCTAATTCCTCGCTCTCCATTGTAAGAACTTTAGTTTTCTCGTTGTATSTCGTCTTGTGGTTCTCTCATAATCGGCCTGGTTTACCGCTCACACTCCTTTATCGACTATACTTTATGACAAATAAAATCCTAAKCCACAAYGYGTAATATTTATATTTGACGTTCTCTGATGAATCATCCTTGTCTGTAGAAAACGAGCGATCGACATTAGCTTGGTGTATTTTCGTTGATAAGACCTGTTTCCCTAATTATGCATTCACAAGCGATCTGCATTTCACCGTGGTGATAGTGTCATGTCGCTTTGTTTGAGTAAGCGCGCGTTGTGACTCGTTCTATTTTCAATGAACGTCAATCTGAATCACTTATCTCAGTCATTCAAAACCACATAATAGACACGCGAGCATTATTCTCTTCTACTTTCCAATAGAAAAAGCAACAATAAATTCAACTGTATCATTAACAACCCGATAAATAGCTACATAGCATAATTTAAGGGAGTAAACCCGTAATTACATTTTTTTATATAATTGTTTGCGAACCAGGCGAGTACAAAGACAACTTCAAGTGCTTTTTATCAAAACTGTCGG